CGGGACCTGCCCGCCGGCCGCGCACTGCGGGACAGCTGCGCTCTTCCTTCAGGGAACAGCTGTGAGGGCGAGGACAGCAGAGAGCCTCGGGAGGGACGGGCCGTAGACAGGCTGGCCAGACGGCTGCGACGAACTGGAATAAATAGCAGCCTTGTGAGAAGGCTGGGGGCTGGGAGCGGAGTGTCCCGGATGTGAGATTTGGATGGGCAGAAAGCAGGCTTTTTGGGCCTGACTGCGGCTGCGTGGAGGTGCCTTGGCTGAAAACATGGGACTGGAGAGTCAGAGCCAAGAAGGTTTGGACTGTAGATACCTCTTCAATGTGTGGCAGTGCCCGTCTGTGCAAGGTGTAGTTCATAGGGATGACGTAGGAAACCCAGAGGTGTAGAAGTGCTCTGAGTAGCTTACAATTTTGTTTGGAAAGATAAAGAGCCAGGTCATAAATTCCTGCCATCTGGGCAGGGTGTGATTAAGCTCTTGATAGCTGTCGATACCCTCTCTTACTTGTAGCTTGTGGTAGACAAGGCACAGTGTTTTGAAGAGAAAAGACCACTCTTCCTAATAGGCTTCAGGGAAGGCTTCCTGGAGGTGGCGGAGCTTCAGCTGGCTTGGAAGGCAAGGCTTTGAAAATGCAGAGGTAGGAGAGAGAAGGTATTCTTGACCTGAGGTGGGAGACACTGCAACCTAATTTAAGGAGGTTGGAAAGATCAGTGTATTTTCAGGGAACGGTTGAGAAATCCCTGTGGGCAGTGGGAAGACACATCTTTGGATATGTAGAATAAGGTCTGCCAGCTGGAACCTCAGGAAGGCCCACTAGATCTGGATGAACTGGATGGGACAGAGGTGATGGGACCTCATTTGAGGCCTTTTGATGGGAGAGGCAGAATTGAGAAGAAAGATGGTTTTATCCAGCCTCATGCTATGGGCACCCCTGAGCTCAGAAGCAATGGGGTTCCTGAGTGGAGTGTGAAGAAAGACAGACTCTTTTAGAATAGAACACAGCTTCCAAGAGTCTGTTTATTAAGAAGAAAAGATGCCGGTTCAGGTTCTGTGGCAGGTCGGCAAGTTGGCAGGTCAGCCCCATCAGGGTACTCATCTGTATCTTATTTTCTTCTTTTTCCTCAGTGATGTGGGCCAGGGGGGTGCCCACAGTGCCCTGGGCCATGGCCAGGGGGAGGCCCACAAGGTCCTGGTGGGTGGGCTCCTCCAGGACAGTGCCCTGGGCCATGGCCAGGAGGAGGTCCGCCATGGCCTGGAGGAGGTCCGCCATGGCCTGGTGGGTGGGTTCCTCCGGGACAGTGCCCTGGACCATGACCATGGTGGTGTCCATGACCAGGATGGTGGCCTGGAGGACCACCATGGCAGTGCCCCTGTGGAAAACCAGATGAGCGGTATTAGAGTTGAAGTCAATGCTGATTTTACCTGTAATCAACTCCTCTTCACCCCACCATCCCAGGGGATTAGGACTCTTGAGCACCAGTGTGGGGTTGTAGTGGAGGGCTGCGGTAGCAAGTGACTGCTGTTGCTCCTGTGCCTTTTTGCCTTGATGAAGCCACTTGAGCACTGGGCAGACATGAGGGGAGGAACCTTGATTTATGTGTTCTGATTCCTTGAGCTAAGCCAGGACTTCTAGTCTCTGGACCTCATTTTATTTCATCTGTAATTAAGAAGCAGAATAATTCTATCTTTCCTCTTTTCTCAGCCAGGAACTCTTGCAGAATGATTAGAAGCTTTACCATTCTAGGACTGTAGGTTGACTGAATTTAGGAGTAGGGATGAGGCTGGGAGAGGAGCTCCCTGAGGATGAGGCAGGGAGATACTAGGCCAGTCTGGAGGGGACCAAGGGTAGGAGGTAGAAGGCAAGGAGGTGTGTTCCTTGCTATGTAGTGAGTGCACACATTATCTGTGTGTATTTACATACAAATGGCTCTGTTTGGGTACCTTGTATAGGCTTGCTGTGTACTCACATACGTGCATGCTTATGTATATATGATGGTGGGTGTATTATGGTGAGCTCATGCCTCCCTCCAGCGCAGGCCAGCCTCAAGGAATCAGGAAGAACAGAAAGTAAAGTCCAAGTTTTACCCCTTACTTAGAAGAGGCCTGGGAAATGTATAGTTTAATCTGCCTTTACTGGAACCATTCCTGAAGCCCCAAGGGAGTTTCTTGTCTCTTGTCACAGGCCCAGGGAAATGGAGACACCATCTGGCCTCTGTGCTGGGGCCTGGGGTGGAATAGTTTACCACTAGGTCTCCATTAGGACTTGGTGCAAGTGGGGAGACATGGGCTCTAGGCTGGGGGGTTCCCGTGACCATGAAAGAGCAGTCTCTGCCCCATCCAGTCACTTCCTGCCTCTCTTTCTGTCTCTTTTTGTGGGTAGGCCCGAGAGCCAGGGCTGGGAGCCAGTCAGCTCTGGTAGCTGATGGGGAGAGGGGGCATCCTTCCATGGCAGAGGCCTGTCCTAGGGACCTGGCAGTGTAGCTGGGGCTTGGGAGCAAGCCAGCCATTCAGCCAGGGTGTGGGGGTAGCAGCCAGGAAAGCAAAGGAACAGAACAGGCGGGGAAGCAGCAGGAGAAAGGATGGGCTGCTGGAGCAGGGAGGGGAAGTGAGGAAAGGAGAGAGACAGATGGGAAAACAGGAGAGAAGCCAAGGAGAGGGCTGCAGCCAGCAGGGGCCGGATGAATGTGTTGATGCCCCACCTTGCAGGGCTGCTGCCTAATTCTGCTCTTGATTTTTTTTTTTTTTTTGAGGGAAGTGGGGGTCTAGGAAGAAGGTAGGAAGTCTGGAGAACATACATTGGGGAGGAAGAAGGGGAGAGGACTGGAGAACTTTCTCACCTTGTGACCTGTGGGAGAGAAAGAAGGAAGAAGTAGCTTTGGTCATTTGGTCTCAGCGTGACCACACCCCCATCCATAGCAAGGCTCTTCAGAGTCCGTCACTTGCCTGACAACCATTCCTTCATTCATCACCCAACAACAGATTTATGTTGAAAAGTCAGTATGAAATTCAGCAGTGCATCCTGTGAGCTGAAGAGCTGGCAGAGCGCTCTGGGTGGTGTGGGGCCTGGCCCAGGGCTGGATACTTATCCAAGCCCTGCCACCTGTCTGCTCACCTAACCTGGTCCGTCCTCTGCCACCCAGTCTCTCCATTGATCCCTTCATGTCCCCTGTATTGAGCCCAGTCTTTCCTCAGCCCCTCAGAGCCATTTGTTGGCTCCCTGCTCACAACTTTCTGGTTTCACTATTGCCTCTTGGCATTTAGTAATTTCTCCAGCTCCACTCTGTCTTGCTTCCTGCCAGAAATCCACTTAGCATGGCCATGCAGTCTCCTAGCTGTGGGCCCAGTGGGCTGCTTCTGCAGTAACCACCCAAGTGGTCTGCAGTACAGCTTCTTGGTGCATTTCTCTCATGCCCTTTGAGGGTAGCCAACAGCATGGCTACCAAGAACTGGATTCTGAGCTCCAGACCTGGCCCTGCTTCTGTAGCCTCACCCGTAGCATGACCCTGAACTTCCCTGGGCCTCCGGTACAAGGGGAGGAATGGCTGCCTGTTTTCCTCCTGAGATGGAAGATCTAGCAGATGAAGCCTATGTGAATGTATTTCTTAAGCTGTAAAGCATTGTGCGGAGTGGAGGGACCTATCTACATGGCAGAGCCCCACCACCACGCCCATGAACCCACACGCCCACAGACCTTTGGCATGCGATAGATATGGCTGGCTGCCAGCCCCATGCCTTCAGCACTGTTCTTTCTTCTCCCACCCCAGAGCTTCCAGGCCATGCTGCTTACCTGGATCCATCTTTGTGGGGCAGGAGCAGGAAGCGACACAGAAACACCTGGAATTCAACAGAGTTTAGTTTTTGGTGGTCTCAGTCTGTCCCCTTCCTTGTTCTCTTTCAGGAACGCACACATAGCCTCTTCATGGGCTCAGGCCCTCTGGTCTAGCCTGGCATCTAATGTGGAACTGGCACTCTAGGTGCTGCCATAGGTGTTCAGTGGGTACAGAGGTCTCATCCACATGGGGAGAGGAAAGAGACAAGTATTGCATTGGTCTCTGGGTCTCACCCTGGACCCATGCCCCTTACAACTGCCCGACCCCAGATTTACCAGCAGACTCAAGAGCATGTTAATTCAGTTCCACTGGGGTCAATTTCAGTCACATTCATTATTCATGTTGAGTGCCTGCCATGTTCCAGGACGGTAGCCCTTTCCCTACAAGATCCTGTGTGAACAGCTAGCATAGGGGTGAGAGAAGGATGCTTGGAGAGGGAAGTGTACTCAGAGCAGGGTGGGGCAGGATGGGCTGATGGGGAGGCCCCATGTTTTTGGCTCTGCAGAAGAAGTGAATAGAAAGCCTTCCAGGGTCAGAGCTGCCTGTCGCTGTCTCCTCCTGCTAGGACCAGAAGAGGTTGGGAGTTGGTGGTCTGAGCCAGTTTATTATTCACCAGCAGTCTCTTCAGAGACTGCTGCTGAAGTCCAGTCACTCCTTACATAGCGCTGGCATGCAGGTCATGATACAACCTCACAATGGTCCCAAAGCAATCCACAGAAGGACTAAACACTTGGCCTTAGGTCTCTGGTGCTCATATGGTAGCTGAGCACACGAGGATGAAGCACACACACACACACACACACACACACACATGCATGTGCACGCACCAATACAAAAGCCCTGGCCCATTACAAGATAGCCCCCTGCACTTCCTGAGCCACTCTTCTTTTTTTAGGTGCTGGAGATAGGACATGGGGCCTTGCATATGCAAAACTGGTGCTCTACCCTGAGCTTCATCTCCAGCCCCACTGAACTCTCTTTCATTAGCTTCTACTTGTGCCACAAACGTTCAGTGGA